TGACCCTGGCGCCAGAATCCCTCCTCCTGTGTTTCCCTCCAGGTGCTGGAAGACGCGGAGGCCCAGCATCTTTTCCAGTCCATTCTGCCCGACATGGTGAAGCTGGCGCTCTCCCTGCCCACCCTCTGCACCCAGGTGAGTCTGCAGGGCCTTCTCTCTGGAGCTGGGAGGGGGGCAGGGCGGGGCAGAAGGCAGAACAGGACGATCGAGTCGGAAGGGACCCTGGATCTCTTCTAGCCCACCCCCTGCTCAGGCAGGAGGCCCAGGGTGCCATTTCAGACAGGTGGACGTCCAGTTCCTTCTTAAAGTCCTCCCGTGTTGGAGTCCCCACTACCTCTGGAGGGAAGCCGTTCCGTGGACTTCATTGTCCTCCCTGTCAGCAAGTTTCTCCTCAGGTCCAGGTTGTGTCTCTCCTGGATGAGGCCGATTCCCCCCCCCTCCCCCGGCCCTTTTCTCCCCTGGAATTGGGACGTTCCCAGTTCCAGCAACCGTTCTTCGTCTCTTTTGGCCACCAGTCCCCCTCATCACCTGACCACTGATTTGCTGCACAGGCAGTCCTCGACTTACGACTACAACGGAGCCCCCAAATTTCTGTGGTCAAGTGAGTTTTGCCCCATTTTACGACCTGACTTGCCACAGTCGCCAAGTGAATCACTGCCGTTGTAAAAGTTAGTAGCCCAGTTGTGAAGTCCCCGGTGACTTCGCTTATCAGGAGGTCCCAGGACCCTGCGACCGTCCTAAGTACAAGTCAGTTCCCGAGCCTCTGAATTGGGATCACGCGCTGAGGGTGCCGCAATGGCCCCAAGTGAAAACAACAGTCGTGTTTCAGTGCCGTTGCCACTTGGAACGGTCGCTGAATGAAACATTGTAAGTCGAGGACTACCCGGGCTGTATGTTGCAGAGGTTGTAAAACAGGCCGATTGTGTGGACCACCAGCCCCCCCCCACATCCTGCAGCCTCTTTTGCAGCGGTCATTAACAAGCCTTGCTCACCTGTCAGCATCCTCCAGAACTCCCCCCTTTCAGCAGAGCTTAGGAGACCCAGCAGGAGCCCAGAAGGAGGAGTTTTAACCAGGCACGGCTGGAGTCAGGAGTGGCCAGAGGCCCCGCAGGCCCCGCAGCCCTTCCTCCTGGGTTCAGAGGTGAGGGCTTCCCACTAAGGAGGCCCCCCCTCCCCTTTCTGTGGAGAGAGTCTCGCAGGGCCTCCAGGATTCAGCTTTTGGCCCGCTTCTGCTTCTTAACTGCTCCGCCTGCCTGCAAGTTCTGCACGGTTCCTTCTGGAGGAGCTGCACAAAGAGCCCAGCCTCAGGGGACAGCCGCCCTGTTTGGGGGCTGCTGGCTGTGTCCTTCCTTCCTTCCTTCCTTTCCGTGGAGCGAATTGCAAAATGAGGAACGCTCATTTGTGAAGCAACCAGGCGGGAGCGACGATGCGTCGGTGGAAGCTCCTCGCTTTGCCACTTATTGTCCCCTTCCCCATCGTCCAAAGTAAGGTTGCCGGCCCTGCTGAGGTGGTTGGGTTGCTTGGAGTCTCATCCTGGTGGCCCCTTGCCGCCTCCTCCTCCTCCTCCTCCTGACAGCTGTTGCGCTGTGATTGTCCTTGATTGCCCTCGGCTGAGCGGCAGGAGGCTCGGCCTGCTGAGCGCAATTCCACCCAATTGCCACCCCTCCCGGCTCCCCCCCCCCCCC